TCATAGCTGGCCGTTTGAATGCATGGCCAGATGCAGGGCGCTTTGTTGGTCCCATTGCTAACTCACTTGTACTTGAACCTTGAGCACCTTGAGCCTGAACTTGCACAAAGAACCCCATGTCGCAAAAGAACTAAGTTCCATTAAAGTTCCTTATATATATATGTATATGTATATGTATAACATTGTATAGCATATATATATATGCATATGTGTGTTGTAGATCCTTATAGCATATGTATAGCAATGTGTTGCAATTTTACATACTTGTTAAGTTGCTTGGGGACCGTCGTTCGTTGTTTCGGGGGAATTAGCGCAGAAGAAGTGTTTTTGACCCTTGCGGACCTCTGAAGAATTGGTTGTTCAGAACTAAGAGAGGGTATAAAACACGTCTTGTTTTTTTTTTTTGCGTTGTTAGTGGCAACATACGAGACCCAAAGGACTATTTCATAGGTTTGTTTGTCTCGTGAGTGGTGAGTGAACGGCCATGGTAAAAACTTTGTAGACGTTGTAAACCTTTGTAAGTTTGTTTGTAATTCAACAACTCTGTCAACTCTTTGCAAAAGTTGCAAACTTTGTACAAATTCTTAAGACTTTGTGAAAGTTTTGTAAACTTTGTATAACTTTGTAAAAATAGAAAACTTTGTAAACGTTCTAAAAACTGTGTAAAACGTTGCTCTAACTTTGAAGAATAATTTGAAGAACTCCAAAACTTCGAAAAAGGTTTGTAAACCTTTTTACAAAGTTTGCGAATTTTACAACGTCTTAATAAAGTTTTACCAAGTTCTTACACAGTTTTACAAGTTTAAAGGTTGACAAAGCTTACAAAGTTTGACAAAGTTTAAAAATGTTTTACAAAGTCTACAAAGTGTTGACAAAGTTTACCAAGTTTATACCAAGTTCACTACGTTTTTACAAAGCTTTCAAAGTTGGTACAAAGTTTACAAAGTTTTACACAGCTTTTATGAAGTTTGCAAAGTTTTACAACCGTTTACCAAGTTTACAAAGTTTTACAAAGTTTACAATATTTTAACACAGTTTACAAAGTTTTGAACAATTTCCAAAGTTTACCCAGTTTACAAAGGTTTTACCATTAAAAAATCAATTAAAGACGTATTGAAAGTTTTACAATGTTGCTGCAATGTTGACAAAGTTTTTACAAAGTTTACACGGTTTTGCAAAGTTTTGAAAGTTTACAAAGCTTGTACAAAGTTTATAAAATCTTTACAAAGATTGCAAATTTTACAATTTTACATGGAGTTTTTTCAAAGTGTACAAACATTTGCAAACTTTACACAGTATTTACATAGTTTACAAAGCTTTCACAAAATTTGCAAAGTTTATACCGTTTACAGAGTTTTGGCACAGTATTGAAAGTTTACAACGATTTTAGAAAGCTTTGGAATTTGACAAAGTTCTTGCAAAGTTTGGAATTTTCACAGTTTTTCAATTTTTACAGAGTCTACAAAGTCTCACAAAGTGTTTACAAAGTTTTCAAAGTTTTTACAAAGTTTACAAAGTTGTACAACGTTTTTACAAAGTTTACAACAGCTTGTTCAAGTTTACAAAGTTTTTACAAAGTTTACAAAGTTTTTACAAAGTTTACAAAGTTTTTACACAGTTTACAAGGTTTTTACAAAGTTTACAAAGTTTTTACACAGTTTACAAGGTGTTTACAAAGTTTTTACAAAGTTTACAAAGTTTTTACAAAGTTTACAAAGTTTTTACAAAGTTTACAAAGTTTTTGCAAAGTTTACAAAGTTTTTACACAGTTTACAAGGTTTTTACAAAGTTGTTACAAAGTTTACAAAAGTTTTTCAAGTTTGCAAAGTTTTTACAAAGTTTACAAAGTTTTTACAAAGTTTGCAATTGGCTGGTGAAAAACACTTATGTTTACAACAAATGACATGAAAAACACTTCTTTTCAAGCAAAAAATCGTGCAAAAACACTTCTTTCACAGAACTTTACAAAGTTTTACAAAGTTTTTACAAAGTTTACATAGTTTACACAGTTTTTACAAAGTTTACAAAGTTTTTACAAAGTTTACAACGTTCTGACAAAGTTTGCGACATTTGCCTTTTGTTACACAAATTTACAAAGTGTTTACAAAGTTTGCAAAGTTTTGAAGATTTTGGAAAGTTCACAAAGATTTTGCGAAGTTTACGAAGTTTTGCAAAGTTTACAGAGTTTCGACAAAGTTTACAAAGTTTTGACAACGATTACAAAGTTTTGATAGTTTATTTATTTGCAAAGTTTACAAAGTTTCTTTCTACATTTTACAAAGTTTTTACAAAGTTTGTACAGTTTCACAATTTGTACAAAGTTTTGAGGAAATTTACAAAGTGTTCAAAGTTTACAAAGTGTTTACAAAGTTTTCAAAGTTTTGACAAAGTTTACAAGTGTTTACAATGCTTTGACAAAGTTTACGAAGTTTAAAAACGTTTTACAAAGTTTGCAAGGTGCTACGAAGTTTATAACGGTCTTCTTTTTAAATAGAGTTTACGAAGGCCTACAACATCTAAAAGTTGTTTACAAAGTTTACAAAATGTTAGTACAAAGTGTACAAAGTTTGCAATGTTTACAAACTTTTTGACAAAGTTCACAAAGTTTTGACAAAGTTTACAAGTGTTTACAAAGTTTTGACAAAGTTTTCGCATTTTACAATTTTTTACACAAAGTTTTCGCAGTTTTTTACACAGTTTTACAAAGTGTACAAAGTTTTTACAAAGGTTTACGAAGTTTAAAGTGTTTCAGCGTTTAAAAAGTTTACAATTTTAACAACAGTTTACGAAGTTTTGACAAAGTTTGCAAAATTTGTTCAATCTTTACACAGTTGTTGCAGAGTTTTGAAAGTTTACAAAGTTTTAGAATTTCACCAAAGTTTCTACAAAGCTTACACAGCTTTTACAAAGTTTACAAAGTATTTACAAAGTTTACAAAGTTCTTACAAAGTTTACAACGTTTTGCAAAGTTTTCAAATAATAAAGTTTACAAAGTTTTGACACAGATTGAAAAAACGAAACTTTGTAGAAAGTTTGTAAGCATCAAAAACTTTTGTAAAAGCTTTGTAAAAACTTTCAAACTCAATAACTTGGTAACAACTTTGTAAAATTCCAAAACTTGTTCAAAGCTTGATAAATGTCCAAAGCTTTGTTCAGATATCTAAAGGTTCAATACTTTGTAAAAACTTCGTAGTTCCAAAGTTTTGTAAAATTCAATGTACTGTAAGTTTCCAAAACTTTGTGAAGTTTGTTATTTCTATCTTTAAACTTTGTAGACGTTGTTAAAACTTTGTAATGCAAAAACTCGGTAAAAAATTGTAATTCCAAAACTTTGTCAAATTGTTGTAAAGATCCAAAACTTTGTAAACACTTTGTAGGAAGTTTGTTTGAAGACCTGCGAAAGCTGTTCAAGAAGAGCTGATCTTTGGATCAGTGAGACTGCTTGCATTTTTTGTTAAAAAAACGGCATTTGGTGCTTGCGCTTTGGGAATTTGTGACTGATGGCTGTAGTGTTTCAGGGTATTGAGGGTGAGAAGAAGGGTCGAATGGTTGTTGGTTGTGCAAGTGTTTTAAGACTTGGCCACGGAAACACCAAAACACTTCTTTCATTTTTTCCAAATAACATTGGTGCAAAACACTTCTTGCGAGCAAAACCACTAAACTCAAGCAACTTAACATACATACTCGTTTGATCAACAAAGGAGCGAGTGCGCGATCAGAGTTACTTGGCTGTTTCTCGGTACGTTGAAACACCTCAGAAAGATAAAATTATCAACACAATACCTTTAGCTCGCAGTCGCGTTCTTCCGCTGAGATAGATGTAAGGATGATTCCCGGCATCGACAAAAGAAGCAGCTCAATTGAGCCAAGATGTTGAAGTTAGTGGACTCGACTCTCTTGCTTTTTAGAAGGATTTGAAAGGTCATTGCTGAGAATCATGGGACACCCACCGGCTCGGCTTTTACTCACCAAGGAATTGGCATGAGTCACCAAAAGCTCGGTCTGCCTTTAACATACAGTGTGTACATCCGAACGCCCATCCGAAAGCCCACGGTGGCGCAGGTGGCGAATACGGCCCTGCAGACGGGCAAGTGCAAGAAGGCCTTCTACCGAAATGAGTGCCCAGGCTGAGCGCTGGGCCTTCGTCCCCATCCGATCCACGACGTTCGCGGAGCAAGAGGTTCCTCCGGAGATGCGCGAAGCGTGAAACCGGTCATACGAATACGGGGGGGCCCGAAAGGACGTGAAACCATGTTCTTGCCTGGACCAGAGGAATGAGAATGCAGTTCTTTTGGTGATAGATATCGCTGCCGTGGAGGTGGTGGAAACACACCTGTCACCCAAAAGAAGAGAAACAGGCGGAGACGTAAGATCGAAGAGATATGCATAGATGAACTCCACACGCTTGCACTGGACCCCTGGGAGATTTAGGTGCCTTGTTGTTGTTTTTGTTACTTTTTATCTTGGAGGGGCTTGTTGAGGCGCACGAAGGGATCCTTTGCAAAAGGTGGTGTGGAAGTTGGAAAGAAACAATAGTCTTTGCATAGTTACCCTACAGCAGATGTCGTGCAAGATGTTTTGGTAGGTATCGGGTTGTGCGATGTTGAGCGATTTAAGTCTGTTTACCTATTAGATATAGGATGATATAGGATATTAGTTGTTGTAGCCGAAGAGAAAACTTGAATCAACTAGTCCATGTGTGTGTTTGTCCATATTTGCTGACTGGATGTCCAAAGGGTTTTCTTTGGGGAGTGCACTTGGCCGTTCGGCAAGAAGCACTGTCAGGTAAATGATGTCAAACATATTAGCAATGCCTACAGCCTACATGTGAAACCTCACCACTAGGGAAAATGCAAAGATGGAGAGGTTGTGGTTGGGAAGGAGTCTAGTAGTGCAGTGGGTGAGCCTTGTATCTAAGTCATCATGGATTGGATTTGATAGGATGCGTCGGATGCTGTGTCACCAGTGATGGCGTCCCAACCATACCCAGGTGCCTCCAGATGCAAGAGCAGACCGAGAACGGTCTCAAGCCCTGCTGTTGGAGGCCAAACCCCGTCCAAATGGGGCCGGGAATGTTGCGTCATCTTTGCCTCAAAGGTGCCCAACTAGATGTTTCCTCTTGTGGAGATTGTGTATAAAACTGGGGATCGTGCCTCTTGAAGGATCGTTTTCGGGAGTGTGACGCGGGTCAGAAAGCCTGGATGAGACGGGCAAAGGGGCTGCAGATATGGTCGCTCCTACCCGCCAAATCCCTAGGTGTCTACCTGGATGGATGTAGTGTTGACGTTTAACCCTCTAGATAGGAAATAGGAAAGGAAAGTACAAATACTATACATATAGTTATTTGCATCTACAGCAACTACGTTCTTTAACTTGACCATCTTATTAAGTGACCATAAGAAACTGTTCAGAGTCAGAGCAAGAAGTGACTCAAACTTCTGACTGTCAAAGGCAACTTTGAAAGACAGCTTTCTTTTTATTAACGTTTCGGCATGGGCATAACCTACTAGCCATGGCCTCCAACCTACTAGTGATGGCCTCCAAAGACAACTTTGAAAGACTTCATGTTTATTCAGGTTTCGGGATGGACCTATTTACTTTGGGCGTAACGTGCAGATCTAAAATCTACAAATAGCCTTCCCTGTTCCTTCTTCCAGGAGCAAAGGCTTTGGAATGCCCTTGGAGAATTGCCGCGCAGAGGCCGAAGACGACGACGGCCAACAGCCGAAGCGAAGAGACGGTTGGGCCCAGCGCGAAAGGACCTCCCAAAAAGTCCTCCAGAAAAGATAGACTCCATGTGAGAGACATTGGAACACATCGGGTAAATGACTGCCTCATGAGCGCTTTCTCGGTCATTTCCTGCGCGAACAGATCTGTGTTCTGCGCGAACTCATGTCTCCCGCATGTCCGGCACGGCCGCACGGCCGCACGGCACGGCCGCACGGCACGGCCGCACCAGGGACATGAGGATATCCAGGCGGCTTGGACGCCCGACGCTTGCGCTGCTCCGGTCGCTGGAGCCTTCGTGCGCCTTGGGTGGCAGGTCGGTGGGCTCGGTCGCCGGCCTGGTGGTGAACTTGGGGTCATGGACGTTTAGGTAAGCTTATATATTATAGACTTAGCAGTTTTTCACGGAGGTGGTAGTAGTAGTTGTTGTTGTTGCTGTTGTTGTATGCCCGACATTTTAGGTCGATGGTTGTGAGACAGGGATCCCAAAACCAACGAACCACCGACCATGCAGACTGCCGGCCACGGCGAGTTGGCGTTCCCATAGTTTCACATGTAGTTTCAATGATGCAGTTTCATGTAGTTTCCGTAAGTGGTGTCACACAGATCTAATCCATCAACCGCTTTAATCGACCCGCTCCTCTTGCAGGACTGGCAACAACCCAAAACCGCACAGTAGCTCGCCCACGTGCCCCCGCTGCGGAAAAAATGTTCACACTTGTGTAGTATGCATATTGTTGAACCTAAAAAACTCGGACGTGAAGCGGTGCTGACAACAGTGCCACCCACACTCGGTCAGACGGATAGCGCCGTCCGAGGCCGTTATTCCCCAACGGTGAAGTGCTCGAGGTTGGCACCGGCACTGGCGACAACGCACGTTTGACGTCGGGTGCGGTGAAAGGGTGTGCTGTTTGATGCGTTTGGAATGCAAGGAGGACCCATCAGAAAACGATCTCAGCATATCTCAGCGATTTGTTTGGGGCATTTGAGAACTCCAACGAATTCCAGACCTAGACTTCTACGCCTGGTGGCAGCAGATGGTGAGTAAGTGACACCTCAGGCGTTGGCAAGTCCGCTTCATGGACTCAGGTTGTCCACGGCCCCGTTTGGGGTCACCGATGTCCAGTCGGTCTTGAATCCGACAGTTGGACACCCGGTGCCATCGAATGATGGCACCGACGTTGGTACATAGGCACCGACCGTTTTGGGGGGGGCGACAGTTTTGATTTTGTGCCATGTTGGACATGGTTTTGGGGGGCACTGACGTTGGTCGCATAGGTGGCACGGGACCACAGGACCATGGTTTTGGTGGCACCGATGGTGGCAAATGACCGCAGCACCTCGATGTGCTAAGAACCGACTGGAACAGAAGTTCTTTGCAAAAGGACAGTTACTTGCTGCAAATACCGTTTGACTGATGGATGATTCACACATGAAGATGTAGATCACGACTTTCTTTCATCATCCTCTTTGTTGTTCGGTTGCAGTGTTAAACAAGCTGCCGAAAGACTTGGTGAAGCTAGTAACACAGTAATATGCACAAAGCTGCGCCAAATCTATAGAGGGTAGTCAGCGAGTTTTGTCCTTCAAAAGGTCAACGAGTCTGTTTAACTTGAGTGGAGTTGGGGGGCTCCGTGTTTAGCTTCGTCATGGAAAAAACTACCCAGGAAATAGTGGAGAACCTTTAACTTTAACCCTTTTGGGAGGATGGGTTTTGCTACTAACTGAGGGACGTGCCCCCCCAAATGGAGTGAACCACTTCGAGCGGACAGGCTGGGAACACTTTTGACATCACCTTGAACCGATGCCCCAATGCAAGTGACTGTGGGTCAGAAGCCAAAAGTGGGCCAGCCTCATTTTCCACCCAGCTGCTTGACCACTTATAGCTCCCATGACTTCACTAAGATAGCCTTTGTAAGGACTGATACTCCAATACGCGCAATACGCTCGCCGAACTTCAGACCCTACCGGTCAGTGCGACCGCTGCGCTCGGCGCTCGGCGCAGAACAGCCCAGCCTTCACTTGCACTCCCACCTGCGAGAACATCTTCGCGCAGGCGGCACGGGGATGGCCACTCTGCCCTCCAACCTAGAAGCAATGGCCTCCAAACTAAGAGCGATGGTTGGTGGTTTCAGATATTGTCAGTTCATTTATGTGTAACCTCTACTTGGGATGATTGCAACCACTGACTATATTCTTCAAGTGAGTTGAAACTACCAACCAGGAAAGCTTCTTGGCTTGGCTTGGCACTGTCCTCGGCACATTTGTCAGGTCCCTGCTGTATGGGCCAAGTAGAACTGTTCCCCAACCAAATGGTTTTGGGTCAAAACTCGGAGCTGTAAACCCTGTTAAGTTCACCTCCCTAGTAGTCTACTGGTCCCCTCGTGCCATGACCCACATCCAAATAGACACGGGAATTGCTCTGTAAAACACTTTGGTTAATGAGCTCTTCCACGTGCCATTGGGCCTAGCGGGGCCACGTGCCGGCAATTGGTGCATAGGCCAACCGACCGGGAGTGTTTCAGACGGCCGCAGTCGACGGGCGCCGCAGCGCGGCGCATAGGTTCGGTCGTCCAAGTCCATCGCCCGCCGGTGGGAACGACCCAAGCGAGCCAAGATGGATCGGATGATTGGTGGGACGATGGGTGGACGATGGTGGAGCAGTGCTGATCGCTGGATCGGAATTGAAGCCATATTCACATGATCCACTTGGATCAGCCATGATCAGCCTATTTGGGCAGTCGATCTTGTTGCCCGCCGATGTGTAAGTACCGTAATTTTGGATGGCTGACATTGACAACATACCGGGGAAGCGACCTTTTGGATGTCTTGTACGGTGTACATTGCATACTGATGGACTGATCTCCCACCCATAAGTGGTAAATTAACATGACCTTTGTAAAGGGATGTCCGAAATTTGGCGCGTTTGGACGGTCAAAGTGGGTTGACACTGCCACCTGATGTAGATACACTCTGCCACCTGGTCTTTTTGGACCCCCCTTTTTTGATGCTCGTTTGTTGCACCCAGCCCTCCTAACAAACCCAGCAGCCACCCACACCGCGGCCAGAACAGCGACCTGGAGCACGAGAATTGCGACAACTGCCGGCCGGATGAGGACTGAGCGCCGGCCCACGGACGTCCAGCTGCGTAAAGTGAAAAGGGTGTATAAATATGACATATTGTGCCATACCTAGATCTTCCAACTGTGCAAAATGATGCAAAATGTGTGCCTTTTCATCCAGAAATCCAGCCAGAAGGCAGAAATTTGTCACAGTTGGAAGATCTAGGTATATCTCAGTGTCGCTCATGTGAGGAGCCATGCAAAAAAGGTACCAAAGAAGACGGCGGAAGATGACCCTACGCAGTCGGAGATGGTTCTCCCAAGTACGTTTGAGGAACCAGGTGGTTTGGAAGACTCGTTGCCCATGACTTGTCGCGACTGAGAAAACAATAGGGGACACCGGGACAACCAAAGAGATTGTGAGAGTATGATGTGATCCACTGAATATCTACGTACTCTTTTTGCTGATGTCCCTGTCATGTCACTCTATGGTGTCCAATCAAAAACCTGGAGCCCCTACACCTGATAGCTTGACCATGTTTGCTAGTTCCAGCTTTTTTCATGCTCAGTGGCCCACCAGGGTCACCCGGTTTTGACCCACAGCGCTTCCGGATGGTACCCCGCACGGGAAGCGCCGCTGGGTTTGGTGCGCCAGAGCTTTGCATCCAAAGACATCAGTGTGAGATTCGGTTGCTCAAGAACATGGGCGGTCACAGACAGTTCGACAGGTTGTCCCTTATGCTGAGACAAAGGTAAGGACTTGTGTTGCCTCATGTTGCCTCAGGGGTTTCACCTGTGTGATTGATGGATCTGGGATGCTTTCTATGACACGAGCACATAGATTGGACACGAGCACAGAACGAAATTCTATGTGGGCAAGGTGGGTTTGGGATGTGGAGTTTCGATTCTACACCGGTGAGCTGGTTCTCATGAAGTATCGGACTCCGAGTGTGGGCTTAAGAAAACAATAGAAAACATGCTGTATCCATAACTTAGATTTCATATGTGTGTGTGTGTTGAGCTCAACGATGTTGACCTATATGATCCGCAGCCTTTCTGTGAGCTCAGTGCTCAACTGCATCCTGCCGCCAAACCTATATGGGTCGGATCCCACTCTCATCGGTGTCAAGGACATCCCGAAATTGGTTGGAAAGACCCCACCATCATGGTGATTCCAGGTGAATTAAGCTAGGATGTAGTGGCTGGTTTCTGGCTTCTGGGTTTCCCCAAGTCTGCAAAAAGGTGGCTCCCTTTGGAGAGTACCATCCAACCCCACGGGTAGAAGAAAAAGTACTTTGCAACCTGTGGGTTCCTGGATGATTTTTTGATCCATGCCCAATTTTGTGATGGTGCTGATACTCTAGGTAGCTACACTCATTCAGCTGTGCAGGAGTGCAAGTGCACGGTGAAGTGCAAGGATCCGCTCAAACCGGTCGGAGGCAGAGTGCTGAGAAGGTGTTCATCGATTCTCCAACTTGGCTTATTAACTTTACTAAATGTTGTAAGACATGTTGCAAGATGTTGCAAGTGTTCTTGTTTCATTGCTAGGAGGATTTTGGACACGATTTTGTGGGCACAAGTTTACAATATTCTATTTTCTACTATAGGACCTTGCTGCAGACTGTGTCGTGGCTCCGCCTGGGTGGACTGGCCGCCGGGGTATACAGGTCCGGAGTTGAAAAGACCCTTTGTTTATGGCTTGGGGAAAATCCAGCTAGAAACCCGCTATATACAGTAGTTCAAGAGAAGTTCGGACCATTGTTCTGCAAATGCTGCTGTAACACTCTGATTCAAATGTGTGAATGTTGGTGAGGGTGAAAGGTACAAAGCACCAAAACCTTGCCGCAAAGTTCACTTTCTCATTCCTCGTCGGAACCATGCTGGCCTGAGCACAGCCTCAGCCTCCTGTCGTTCCAATCGTATTTGATTTCCCTCCGGAGATATCATCATTTGGCTGAGTCATCAGTTAGCTTTGAGGCAAGTCCATCACCTCGATTTGCGCGTTGAAGATCCCTCATCCAAGGAAGCGGAAGACACCTTTTGTTGGCTCATCATCCGTGGAACCACCACGTGCGCTTGTCTCATCAACACAGACTGGTCAGACTGGATCTAGGCTTCGAAAAGGCGACGTTGATCTTTTCCTTTGCACTTGGATGTGGAATGGCGGACGTATCCAATCTGGCTTGCCTTCAATGTGGGAAATGTATGGAAATGTGAACTACTTGAGCTAAAGTGGTATGATTTGGTGTGTGTGTGTGTTGCCATCGGCAGAGCTCGTCAGCTTCAATGTGAATGAAGTGGATGTGATGTTTTGGTTTGTTCTCCGATGTTTCAACAACGGCCAAGTGGATCATGGCTGGGAGGGATGACTCATGGCTTTAGCGGCGATCCGCCCGGACCGAGACGACCGCGACGACACCGCACGCACGGGCGCCGCGCTGTCCGCGTGCCAGGCAACACTGGCTTACGGCGCTGCTTGATGCCGCTGGGAGAGCAAACATGATTCGAAGAAGGGATGGGTGATGCAGCATGTACTGTAGAAGAACTTACTTGCTATTTTTGGCCAGGGTTTTAGGTGTTTGATGGTTTTGATGATGTTTGGGTTTGGCTCGTGGCCTGGATTTGGGCCATCAACACATCAACCCACATATGTTGTGTCCATTGTGAACAAGGTTGCAGGGAACTCCATATTGTATACTGGCTGTTGTTTGAACAGTGTTCAATGGTTGTGATGACGATGCAGAAACCTAAGCATGTTAACAGGTCCCGATATGTCATGTTGCCATCACAGATTTGTGTTGTGTACTGATATGTGTTACATTTGATCCAGACCAAACATCCAAGACCCTGGTGTGGAACAACTATTATATCAACTATTAATATATTAATAATACCAGGACCCTCCAAGGGGTGCTCAATGGAAGCCTATAGGTAGTGTGGGGTAGTCCATTGGACACCCCTTGGAGGGTCCAGGTATGTTAAGTTATAACTTATATGTATTGTATTTATGTCGAAGGTTTTCCAATCGAATTTCAGGACGATGTTCTAACGATCAGGGCTTACACAGCTGAATCCCAGCGAAGATTTTCTAGGAAAGCCCCTTGAAGTCAGTCTTCCCTGGTCTCCAGGGTGCTTTCTTTCTGGCATGATCCTAAAGAAGTTCAGTTTCTGTATGCAACATCCAGGCATACTACACTTGCTTCCCAAGACGGAGCAGCTCCACCAGCTTCCACGCGTCAGTCCAGTTACGTCGAGCAGTTCCAGCGCTCTGTTCGCGGCGCTTGGTTCGCTCGGTTTCGACTCCAACGGGTCCAACCGACTCGAGGTGCAGAATTCGATGTCCACCCAGGGTCTCTGCAAATCAACCTACTCAGATTGCCGATATGCTTTTAGCCGAGTGATGGAAAGAAAGGCCCGACCAGACCAGCTAACAGCTAAGACCCGTGCTTCTGCGACTCAATTGTCAAAGTCTCGCCGGTGGAGCTCGGGGCGAGGTGGTACAGTGGCCCCCCTATAGACAGAAATATAAACATACACACACTTTTCTAAAATGATTTTTGTAGCATTGTAGCTACGAATGGACGCTACGACAGGAGCAACATCGCGACTCGAACGGAGCCATCGGACGCTATGAGTAAGGGGCTCCTGGCCTTACTACTAGTAACAAGAACGCTACTAGGAACATGCCCACCTCTTCAAGTGCAAAACGACCGGACCTCGGCTGCTCTCCCAGGCAGGGCGGTCTCGCGCAGTTTGAGCCGCCACCCGACTGCCTGCAGCCCTGTGAGCACGGGCGCCCAGGGGTCCGAGGACCAGAAGACGCCCAAACGAAGCTCTCGAGCTTCGTCGCGCCATTTGTAGAGCAAAGTGAAATCCCTCTATAGAGAAGGCATCTCAAGAAATGTCCGTTGTGTCCTTTACTGGTTTCAGACCGGCAGGTTTGTGCAAAAAGTCTTGTGGTTTGGTCAGGGACGTCCAGATACATCCAAAGGCCTGGGTGGTCCGACATGAACACTCTGCAGCGGAGGTGTGGAGGTATGTGGAGGTTGTACCTGACATATTTGTCCTCCACAGAATCCACGTCTTACGTAGAAGTAACGGCAACGGCTCAAAGTAGATCATTGCTTCGATCTAAAGAGCATCCAGAAGCTCTAAACAGGATCAAGTAAAGTAAGATGTAAGCCCTAGACCATAGAAGATGTCTCCATGGAGTTTGTTGCAACACAAGTGCTGCTTGAAGAAGTCTTTGTTTGGAGATACCGGAACCATCCAACCTCTCAATAACCACCAAATCAGACGAGGTGAGACTTCAGTCTCCCGGCCTAAAACCCCCGGGTTCCGGGCGCGCCGCGTGCCCTCCCTCCCTGCGCTGTGCGGCCCCAGGACACCGGATCACAAAGATGGTACCTTAGACGTGAGCCGCCGCTCGGTCAAGAGGTGGTCCACCGGGCCCACCCGGTGCGCTTTTGACCAAGTCTGCGAAGACTCGGTGCACTTGGTATGATTGATGTCCGGGAACATGCAGCATCCGATCTAGCAGATTATGACGCTTAAACCTCTCGTGGATTTGGGAAGGAAGTGGGAACTGGTGACAGGAACCATGTGGATTGCATTTTGTGGAACTGAGGTAAATGTATCATTGATGCGATTTGCCACCAAGAATTATTGTCCATATCACATCCTACTGTATATTGTAGGTCGATCCAGGTGCAAAACTTGCTGGCGCTTCCGGTTCAGGTGCAGGTCAGACCTGTTCGTTGCAAGGAACATATTGCCTTCTTCATGAAAAATCGTGTAGATGACGTGGAAACAAGTGGAAAGCAAACATGTGCGTGGTCCGGGTCGGAGGGCAAAAGACCCACCGACTTTCTTGGTATGGTCACACGTGATCAACTGCCACCCAGCGATGACTACCTTCATGCTGCCATGATCGTGGGCTAGAGAAGGTTGCAAGCCAAAACTCATAGGCAATAGGCCTCTCCTCAAAAAAACGAAAACGGAATGACAGAGAAGGTTGGCTGTTCGCTTCACGGTTCGAAAACTCTCCAGCAATGGCGCTCTCCAGCGCTCTCCAGTGAGCGCCTTCGAATCGCCTCAGGCTGCAAGAATCGCTGTGTGCCTGGAGACAAGGACCCGACCGGTCGGCGTCCGCACACTGCGACCGGGCGACCGAAAAACTCCCGGCAGTGCGACCGGGCTTTTCATCCTTCAGTCTTTGTTTCTAATAGCAAACATTGTTCCTAGTAGTATGGCCAGGAGCCCCTAGTAGCGTTCTTGTTCCTAGTAGTATGGCCAGGAGCCCCTAGTAGCGTTCTTGCTCCTAGTAGTATGGCCAGGAGCCCCT